GTGTGGACACCCTTGTCTTGTTCCTGATTTTAGAGGAATCGCCTTGAGTTTCTCTCCATTTAGTTTGATGTTGGCTGTTGGTTTGCTGTATATTGCTTTTATCATGTTTAGGTGTGTTCCTGTTATTTCTGATCTCTCCAAGACTTTTATCATGAAGGGATGTTGGATTTTGTCAAAGGCTTTTTCAGTACTAGCGAGATGATCATGTGGTTTTTCTTTTTCAGTTTGTTTATATGGCGGATTACATTAATGGATTTTTGTCTCTTGAACCATCCCTGCATTCCTGGGATAAAGCTGACTTGATCATGGTGGATGATTCTCTGATGTGTTTTTGGATTCCATTTGCCAGTATTTTGTTGAATATTTTTGCATCTATGTTTATGAGGATATTGGTTTGTAATTCTATTTTTCGTTGTGTCTTTGTGTGGCTTGGGTACCAAGGTAATTGTAGCCTCATAGAAGGAGCTTGGCAATGCCCCTTCTGCTGCTATTGTGTGGAATACTTTGAGGAGTACTGGTATTAGATCTTCTTTGAATTTCTGGTAGAATTCTGCACTGAAACCATTTGGTCCTGGGCTTTTATTGATTGGTAGATTTTTGATGACTGCTTCTATTCCACTAGGTCTGTTTAAATTGCTTATCTGTTCTTGATTTAATTTTGGTAAGTGGTATCTATCTAGAAAATTGTCCATTTCCTTTAGATTTTTTAATTTGTGGAGTACAGGTTTTCAAAGTATGACCTGATGATTTTCTGGATTTCCTCAGTGTCCGTTGTTATGTCCCCCTTTTCATTTCTGATTTTGTTAATTAGCATGCTCTCTCTCTGCCTTTTGGTTAGTTTGGATAAAGGTTTGTCTATCTTGTTGACTTTCTTGAAGAACCAACTCTTAGTTTCATTGAGTCTTTGTAGTGTTTTCCTAGTTTTTACTTTATTGATTTCAGCCCTCAATTTGATTATTCCAGCTGTCTACTTCTCCTGGGTGAGTGTGGTTCTTTTTGTTCTAGAGATTTCTGTTGTTCGTCCCGTAGTGTAGGATTTTTCCAGCTTCTTAATGTAGGCTACGTCTTAGCACTGCTTTCATCATGTCTCATAAGTTTGGGTATGTTGAGCAGCCATTTTCACTGAATTTTTAGCAAGTCTTTAATTTATTTCTTTCTTGACCCAGTGGTGATTGAGTTGAGCATCACTTAATTTCCTTGATTTTGTGGGCTTTCTGCAATTATTGTTGTTGAATCTAACTTTAAGCCATAGTGATCTGATAAGATGCAGGTGGTTATTTCAACTAGTTTGTATCTGTTGTGGTTTGCTTTGTTACTGAGCATATGGTTAATTTTAGGGAAGGTTCCATGTGGTGCTGAGAAGGTATATTCTTTTGCGTTAGGGTGGAATGTCTTGTAAATGTCTGTTAAGCCCATTTGAGTCATAACAGAGAAATAAAGGAACTAACAGATATTAAGTTTCTGTTTGTTAGACCTGTCCAGTGGTGACAGTAGGGTGTTTAAATCTCCCACTATTAGTGTGTGGGGCTTGGTGTGTAATTTAACCTTTAATAATGTTTCTTTTACAAATGAGGGTGCCCTTTTATTTGGGGCATAGATGTTCCAAATTGAGAATTCATCTTGATGGATTTTTTCTGCGACAAATATGAAATATCCTTCTTTATATCTTTTGATTACTTTTAGTTTTAAGTCTATTTTATTAGATATTAGGACAGCTACACCAGATTGTTTCTTAGGTCCATTTGATTGGTAATCTTTTTCTAACCCTTTACTCTGAGGTTATTTCAGTCTTTGAAGTTGTGATGTGTTTCTTGTATGCAGCAGAAGGGTAGATGCTGTTTTCGTATCCAATCTGTTAGCCTGTGTCTTTTTTTTTTTTTTTTTTTTTTTTGTAACCTGAGACAGGGTTTCTCTGTGTAGCTTTGTAGACCAGGCTGGCCTCGAACTCACAGAGATCTGCCTGCCTCTACCTCCTGAGTTCTGGGATTAAAGGTGTGCACTGCCACCGCCCGGCTGGCCGGTGTCTTTTTATAGGCAAATTGAGCCCATTGATATTAAAGGATATTAATAACCAGTGATTACTACTTCCCGATATTTTTGTTAGTGGTGGTGCTATTGTGTATATGTTTCCCTTCTTTGGGATTTTCTGGTGTGGGATTATCTTTTGCTTATGTTTTTATGGGTGTAACTAACTTTCTAGGGTTGGAGTTTTCCTTCCAGTTACTTTCTATAGGGCTGGATTTGTGGATAGTTATTGTTTAAATCTGGTTTTACCATGGAATATCTTGTTTTCTCCATCTATGGTGGTTGAAAGCTTTGCTGGGTATAGTAGTCTGAGCTGGCATCTGTAGTCTCTTAGTGTCTGCAGGATGTCTGTCCAGGACTTTCTGGCTTCCATTATTTGCATTGAGCAGTCTGGTGAAATTCTGATAGGTATGCCTTTATATGTTACTTAGCCTTTTTCCTTTGCAGCACTTAATATTCTTTCTTAATTCAGAATGTTTAGTGTTTTGATTATTATGTGGTGAGGGGACTTTTTTGGTGCAGTCTATTTCGTGTTCTGTAAGCTTCTTGCACTTTCATAGGCATGTCTTTCTTTAGGTTAGGAAAGCTTTTTCTGTGCCTTTGAGTTGTATTTCTTCTCTTTCTATCCCTAGTATTTTGTGTTAAGAATTGTTGGATTTAACATTTTCTTCGACTGATGAATCTGTTACCTCTGCTGTATCTTCAACGCCTGAGATTCTGTCTTCCATCTCTTGTATTCTGTTGTCTATGCTTGCATCCATTGTTTACCCACATTTTCCATTTCCAGAATTTCTTCGGTTTGTGTTTTCTTTATTGCTTCTATTTCAGTTTTCAAGTCTTGAACTGTTGCCTTCACCCATTTGATTTCTTTTTCTTGGTTTCCTTTAAGGGATCTGTTGATTTCTTCCAATTTTTTGTTTGTCTTTTTTCCCCATTTCTTTAAGGGAAGTTTTTCATTTCCTCTTTATGGGCCTCAATCATCTTCATGAAGTTATTTTTAAGGTTGTTTTCTTCTGCTTCATCTGTGTTGGGATATTCTGGTCTTGTTCTTGTAGAACCACTAGTGTCTGGTGGTGCTGTATCACTTTATGGTGTTGAGTGTGTTCTTCCACTCCTGTCTACCCATCTCTTCCTCCATCGGTACAGGTAGAGCCTGTGCTTCAGGGGGTCTCTCTTCCTCTAATTGGTGTAGTTGGGGGCTGTGGCTTTGATGATTGATCCTCCAGGAACAGGCAGGACCCCATCTCTGTTGACTGCTCCTCTAGGTTCAGGTGGTTGTGATCTCTGGAGGCTGCTGATGCTGCTGGGTATCACATGTAGAGAATGGCACTGTAAACTGGCTGGAACAGGGGTGCTCGTTTCCAGAGAAGCTTCTCACTTTCAGAAGCTTATACTATATATAAGCTTCTACTGTTGATGCTTCCACGCCACCCGGCTCATGCTTCAGAAGCCAGTTTTTAAAAGGCTCACAAATATATAAAGAGTTTTCAGTTAAAAAAATATGCTTATTTTCTTGTGTTGAAAAATAATGAGAAGGAAAAAACAGATGCCATGCCTTCAACTTGTTCTCCAGCTTTTGGACAGCAGGGCTCCCATGCTTACATAATTAGGCAGATCAGAAAACTAAAAATGTAGCAAGAGCTGAGCCACATGGCCCATTGCCTTTCTCCAAATTCTGCTCGTCTCTTATTTCTGTCTGCCAAGTAGTAAAGAGAGCTGGGAGGCCAAGAATCCTATTCTCCCTACACACTTGTTTCTATTTTATTTTGTATATTGATGCCGAGGTCTTATTGTTATGAATCAGCCAGCCCCCTCTTATCTGTAAATGACCAGCAAAAGGTGACGTAAGACAACGTTGCTGAAGTCTCAGTGCCTGTCTTTCCTTTATTCTCAATATGCCTTCACTGACAGTTTTCCCAATCCACTACTCATGTAAGTCACTAACTGTGATTCTGCTTCTCAGGTGACATTGCATCTGTAGTTTCTGAGAGTGGAATTTCCTTATCATTCTATTCTTGGCCTGACATCCAAAGAATATATATGCTTGAGACATATTGTCATGAGGACCAAGTGGGAAGATTGTTTTTAATATAAACTTATCATGAATGGGCTCTGATCAACTGCACATGGTACTGGCTGTCATTCCTTTAGAAGTTTAAATGGGCATGTGCATGCGTGTGTGTGTGTGTGTGTGTGTGTGTGTGTATTTCGGCTGATGAATTTTTCATTTGTCTTTCATGACATCTTCAGTGTTTAAGGTGGTACTGATGTCCATTCATATTGCCATAAGCAGCGCACCTGAGTTCCAAAGCTCCTGTGCAGGTATTGTTTTTTCTCGGATACTTGTCCACATTGATGTTGCTATGAAACTGGGAAGTTCCATTCACCATGTTGCTGATATCATTCCTTAGTGTTTTTTTTTTTTTTTTTAAAAAGATGCTTTAAAAATGGCACTTTCCATAAGAATTTGATATTCCTGAAATGATAACCTGTAATTTACAGAATTCAGGATGAATGACTGAGTTTATATGTCTAGCATATAATTAGCATAATTCTTATTTTGAATATATGACAGATTCTAAGGTCAGTACCAATTGTTAGTGTGTGTCTCTTTTGACTATAGCCCACTCCATTTTCATAATGAAGAACACAAATTTTAGTGTTACACAGACAGTGTTAGCACTGGTCTTGGTGACCTTACAGTGTGTATCATGGTGGCAGAAAGACTCTTCCAAGGGGTAAGAATAAGAAACCAGCATGCTTTAATCTATTGTGTAAACCATGTGCTTTGTTACAGTGACATAGTTTTCTCTGTATTACAATTCCTTTTCCTACAAGAAGAGCCTTACCCAGATGTCCTTTCCATTCTAGCTGCTCACCTGTCAATCTTCCAGCCTTTCCAAAAGGGTGAACTTTTTATAGAACTTGGTTTTTATAGAACTTTTCACCTACTGTTTGCTTTTTTTTTTTAAAAGGTCAGTGGATAAGTCTGTCATCATATATGATACCGTAAGTACTTCAGATCTTGTGCGTGAACTATATAAATTGTTTATATAAGCAATTAGTTATATAAAATATTTTTAAATTGTATTTATTTTTATTGGTGTTTTGCCTGTATGTATGTCTGTGTGAAGATGTCAGGTCCCCTGCAACTTGAGTTGTGAGCCACTGTGTAGGTGCTGAGAATTGAAATCAGGGCCTCTGGAAGAACAGTCAATGCTCTTAATGGCTGACCTATCTCTCCAGACCCCTGTATACTTTTAATATATCTATTTATTGTGTCCAAGAATATAACATACATTCTTATAATGCTGAAATAGTAAGATATTTGGGAAACCTTAAATATTTCAATAATGTCTTTATGATGGATGGGGTTTTAAATCTAATCATAGAAAGCATAGTCAGAGAACACCAGTGTTCAGAAATCCATTATACCCACCTTCCGTAGCAGCAGGCTGTGGTTGAATGTGGCCAATCTGTAATTCTTAGAGTACAGGGTGGATTTAGGGACCATCATAAAACAGAGTAAGTTACCATAGACTTGGAAAAACATGAGTTTGGGGCAGATTTATGTGAATGAATGCTGAATTGTATGAGTCTAAATAAAAACGAAAATTTATATTTCACAAAGATATATTTCAAGAGAAAATCGGTGTCGTGTGACACCATATGACTACGTTTGGGCATCAGTGATGGTAGCTGTTCAGTGGAGGCATAAGTCATTAGAGTGTGGTGTCCAACAGGCGATTAGTCATCCACACAGGAGTTAAAGTCATTGGAGGTTCTGGCAAAAAAAAAAGGGGGGTGGGGGTGGGGAGAACAAACACTTAAGTCAGATGAAAAAGAGCTATGGTGTTTCCTACCAGCTTGTTATGGGATGTTTATATTCAGAAATAGGTATAACATTAACTTTTTCTATAAAATATGCACTAGTCCTGCAGCAACCTCAGTTGAGAAAATACCTCCATCAAATGGCCCAAAGGCAGTTCTGTCAGGCGTTTTTTTTCCCTTTGGGTTTTTCGAGACAGGGTTTCTCAGTGTAGCTTTGGAGCCTATCCTAGCACTCGCTCTGGAGACCAGGGTGGCCTTGAACTCAGAGATCCGCCTGCCTCTGCCTCCTGAGTGCTGGGATTAAAGGCGTGCACCACCACACCTGGCAGGCATTTTTTTCTTAATGATGGATGTGAAAGGCCCACTCCTGAGGCCATGGTGCTAGATACAGAAAGCAGGCAGAGCAGGCCATGAAGATCTGGCCAGTTGCAGCTCTTTGGCCTTTTCTGCCTCATTCCTGCCTGAAATTCCTGCCCTGACTTCCCTCAGTGATGGACTGTGATTTGGAAGTGTAAGCCAAATAATCCCATCCCTCCCCAAGTTGCTCGTGCTGAACCAGGACAGTATCTGTACACTGACTGGCTCCCTAAGTGTACTCAGAGTGTCGGCAGCTTCCATGCACTGATCCTGCAGTATGTACAAATCAGATACCACTGCAAGACTACACCTTACTTCACTTGTTATACACTTGGTTTCTACTAACAGTCTTGGTCAAACTGGCGAATGTTAGAGGTCGCTATATGAAAACTTCCTAAGAGGGTAGTCAGTGGACCACCATGCTGATGACTGACAAGGTAGAACAAGCTGTAATATTTAGTTATGGATGTCAGCTCTCCTTCTGTTGTCACTAAGCCCCAACAAGTTAGTTACTAACACTGCATTCAGCATGTAGGCTCTGTAAGTGACGCTTCATCCCTACCTTGTCTCTTGCCTGACTAACGAAGTTACTCTGTTATTTTTCAGGGTACTCAGAGTGTGCTTCACACATTGACTCAGCATACCAGGTCTGAGTTAATTTCACTGTTTTAGTATAATTAAAATGTTAGCCAGACAAAATGTAATGGTTATGTTTATTAACTAGGTATGTCACAACTTGTGCCTTTGCACCCAACACCCTTTTACTTGCTACTGGCTCAATGGACAAGACAGTGAACATTTGGCAGTTTGACCTGGAAACACCTTGCCAAGGTTAGTAAGATGACCCCATCCTTGTTCTGTGGTGTTGCAAACCCAGGGCCTCTGGTCTGCTGGCTAAGTGCTCTCTGTAAGTTACGGCCCCAGCCCAAGCAGCAAGCATCCTTAACAATCTCAACACTGATCAGAAGTTTGGGTACTTCTTTTTTTGTGGTCCTGAGGATTGAACCTGAGGCCTTGTACATGCTAGGCAAGTGCTCTACCACAGAGCTACACCTCCAAGCCTAAACTTTAGTAAATCCTTTGGCATGCTATTCATGTTGCCTTTCTCAGTACACCGTACAAACTCAAATTTAATACACCCTGAAACTAATTTTGGAGAATCCAGTGTTAAAGTCATCTACAGTTAAGTTTTGGCAAAGGCTTGTGTGCCTTTGTACTCTTAACATCATGGATGTTAAGACCCTGGGTTTTTCAGGTTCATGTAGCCTGAGGACAGAATAGGAACCACAGCCTTATCTTGTTGGCTCTCCTTTTTAGCCTCACAAGTGTGTAACTTAGGAGTTTAACTTTATCACTGTCAGAAATAACTATGTGGTGTGCTGGTATGCTGGTGACAGAGCAAGCAGAGTAACCCTTTGAAGGCGGGAGTATTATTGAGTGAAGAACAATTGGACTAGAAGTGTAGGTCAGTGGTAGAGCTAGCATGCACAAGGCACAAGGTTGGATCACCAATACCACATAAACAATGGTCTTTCTGCAGTCAAAAAGAAATTCCTACAGGATAGCATTTTCTGTAGCATTAAGTCACTACTGTTCCTACCTACTGTACTTCTTAAAAGGAAGTTAAAAAGTCAAAAGTGGGAATGTGTAAAGAAGAAACATTTGGTCTGCTGTTTACGTGGCCTGTGCGTTTTAAAGCAGGAAGCATGAACGATCAGCTGAAGCAGTTGATTGAAGACTGGTCAGAGGAGGATGTCTCAACGTGGCTTCGTGCTCAAGGATTGGAAGACCTCGTCGGTATTTTCCAGATGAACAACATCGATGGAAAAGAACTATTGCATCTCACAAAAGAAAGTCTGGCTGGTGATTTGAAAATTGGTAAGCACAGTGAAGAATGGGCAGCCTTCAATTCTCAGTGATTCCCCTACTGTCAGGCTTAGCTGTGCTCATGGTTCTGCCCACTCTTGTACAGCAGTATTCCAGGTTAGACTTTTATAGAAGGAAGGATTTCAAGTAACTAAACCTAGCTTGTAATTATAATGTTAGAGAGTTCCATATTTTAAAAATTGATTATAGTTCAGATACCTTAAAATTTACTTTTCAAAATAATATTTTGTGTTTGTATGTCTAAGTCCATGCATGTAGGTGTGTGTGCATATGCAGTGGGCAGAGGGCACTCTGTTGTTGCTCAGGAGCCAGCCACCCTGTTTTTTTTGTGACAGGCTCTCACATTAGCTTGGAACTCACCAGTTGGGTGAGGCTAGTTGTCCAGAAAGCCTGGTCACCAATCACTGCATCCTTAGTACTAAGATACAAACATGGGGGCTGGAGAGATGGCTCGGAGATTAAGAGCCTCTTCCAGAGGTCCTGAGTTCAATTCCCAGCAACCATATATGGTGGCTCACAACCATCTGTAATGAGATCTGGTGTCCTCTTCTGCTTGCAAGCATATATGGAGGCAGAATGTTGTACACAAAATAAATAAATCTTAAAAAAAAAAATACAAACATGGGTTACCAGGCCTGGCTTTTTCACATGTGATCTAGGTATTAAACTCAGATCCTCATGTTTATGTGACAGCTGATTGATGGAGCTATTTCATCAGTAGAAAATGACTCTTTTAAGAGTGATGTTGTGTGTGTGTTCTACTCACGTTCACAGAGTAGTACAATCCACTACTTAATTTTGAAACATTTTTATCAGTGCTAAAAGAAATCCCATACCTTATTTCTTTCTAGCTTGTGGAACTAGTATTTTGTTTACAAACCTATCTATTATTGTCATTTTATACCAGTACTCAATATATGTGGCCTCTTGTGTCTAACCTTTCTCTTTTTGCTTGTCATCAGCTGATGGAATTTGGAAGAGTTCCATGTTTTAGATATAATTTATAATCCTCCTCTGAACAATCATATACAAGCTTTTGTGTGAGCATCTTTTCAGTTTTCTTGTATATTTGTTCAAAGTAGAATTGGTGGGTCATAGGGAAATCCTCTGCATGACACTGGAGGAGTTGTCAGGTTGTTTCCCAAAGCAGCCCTGCTATTATACAGTCCTACTAGCATGGAGGGCGGCTTCTCCATAGCCCTCAGCATAGGGGAGGGTTTCTCCATAACCCCAGCATTGGGGAGGACTTCTCCATACCCCCTCAGCATGGGGGAGAGCTTCTCCATATCCCCACTAGGAGAAGCTCTAGTTCCAGCTTCTGGTAGTGTTTCTAACAGTTGTTGGCTTTTGTTATTAGCATCATCCAGTAGTTGTGGTTTCTCCTTTAGGCTTTGGTTTACATTTCCTTGATGACTTAGGTTGTTTCCTTAATGCATTTAGATTGCTTGGGCAACATCTGCCAAACTAGGTAGGCTAGTGTCTCCAAAACTTGTTTGCTTTTGTTATTAGCACCATCCAGTAGTTGTGGTTTCTCCTTTAGGCTTTGATTTGCATTTCCTTGATGACTTAGGTTGTTGCCTAAGTATTTTGATTGCTATGGCAACATCCCCTAAACTAGGTAAGCTAATAAATAACAAATTGATTTCTTCATTCTGTCAAGTCCAAGATCAAAGTACTGGCAGGTTTGGTGTCCAGTCAGGAGTAATTTCTGACTTATGGACAGACAGTGCCTTTCCTACTGTACTTTCACTTAATGAAATAGATGAGTTCACTCTCTGGGGTCTCTTATTTATATGGGTTCTGATCCTGTTTGTCCAAAGCCCCACTTCTAACACCACTATGTTATTTGTAACTATGTTTCATACTTGCAATTGGCCTAAGACTTGGAAGCAATGGTGATAGGTTTCAACATATGAATATTCTGCTTTACAGTTTGGAAAATTGGCAAATGCAGTAATTTAGGAACAGAATTAGAAAATATGTTCACTGGAGCATCTGGTCCTTCCCATCATTCTAAAATACCTGATATTTTAGTATTATGTTAGGATCTATTGTGCCCGTGATCCTCTTGCTTCCGCCTCTCAGAGGCTAAGATTACAGGCAGCGATGGCTACATACCAGGCCATTCTGAAATATGTTGAAATGTTCTGTTTTATTTATCGTCATTATAGAAGATAACTTTTAATCTTCAAATATTGTTTTAAGCTACAAAGGATTTCCTTTCATCTTGAATTTTAAGAAACACACCCTTCCCGTAAAACAGTAAATCTGGCCGAGACAGAATTGGAATGGGGATTGAAGATAGAAAAAGCAAACTGCTGACAGATATGCTGACGTTTGCTTTTTACATGCAGAAATGTTTGGCCTGCAGTTTGATTTCGTGATTCCTAATGCCTGTTGAAATCTGAATTCCCTTAGCATCCAGCTTATGGAAGTAGCCATGCTATAAAGTGTGTTGGAATGTGACAGGCCAAAGAAGTGTGTCCACCATGTTTGACACAATTGCTAAGAGACAACACTGTTAAGCCTCTCAGCAGTAGGCCTTTTGTAAATGTAGGATAAAGGGCTATTAAACATGAGTTTCTCAATCTAGTGTTTTAACCAAAGAGTTTAAACCACTTTCTAGGTTGCTAATGAAAAGCCTCATAGTAAGATCCTGTCTTGAAAGCCCAGGTACTTGAGAAGGGTGTGAATAAAGGGAGCCACTGTGGGCGTGTTCCCTAGCTCTGCAACTCACCTGCTGTCTCTCTGTTCTCCAGGAGTCCAGAGTCAGGGTTCACCTAAGAAATAAGGAGTATCCATCCTGATGTTGAGGTGTTTTAAGGCATCTGTGAATCTGCATTTGTAAATACTACTGTCATAGCCTTTGGGAGACTGCACAGTGCTGTGGATCTTGGAGCTTAGAAGATAAACTGGTAGAAATTTAGAATGGCAAGTGCAAAGAAACTACTGTAGGTCAGAATTCATATATTGAAATAATTAATCATACATTTATAAATAGGAATGAGAAGTTTTTCTTCCCCCTTCCCCAGAGGTTTCACTTTTTGATTTTTTTTTCCTTTCTGAGAACTAATAAAAGCCCACAAGGCATTTTTTAAAAAATACCATTTTCCAGGTTGCTAGAGTTTGGATGTACATGCTTCAACAGCCACATGTTACGCTTGAGTGCCAGTCTGTGATACTGCAGGGAGATGACAGAGTGACAGAGCTTTAGGAGCTGAGACTTAGAGGGATCAAGCTAGGTCATTGTATCCCCCTGAAGAGACACTGGGTATCCTTTCCTTTTCCTTCCTCTTGCTTCCTAGATACCAGGAAGCAAGTGGCATCATCACTGAGTGTTCCCACTATTCTCTTCTGCCTCTTGACAGGCTAAAATGGCAGTGGAGCCAACTCATCCATGGACTTAAAACAGAACCACAGTCAACCCTTCCACCTTTTGGTCCATTTGAGTATTGTGTCCAGTAACAGAAGGCTGACTATTTAACACATTGTTGAAAACTAATACAAATTTCTTTTCCAGCTTTATTTATGCTTCACCTGTCTCACACCCTTAAGTTTTGAAAGTTTATTTCACTTCCTAGTAATATTTCATTTTACAGATTTTCACTTGCTGCCTAAATGTAATACATACTCTTTTAGAATCCCTAGGGCTGCGTAGCAAAGTGTTGAGGAGCATCGAAGACCTCAGGACCAGAGTAGACTCCCTCTCTTCTGGGATCCCTGATGAGTTTATCTGTCCAATAACTAGAGAGCTTATGAAGGACCCCGTCATCGCATCAGGTATGTGTTCTGACTCCCTGGCTCAGGGTGTGTGACATGCTACATAGAGGATGAGGGGGCACTTGGCACAAGTGTGTTTAAATTTAGGCTGTGTTCAAAATCCCATTTTGTTTCTCATAAGTAGGTTTTTTTTTCTTTAAAAAACATTAGATGCAAAGTAAATAACTATACACTGTATATTTTGTACAGTTTATTTTGTAATAAACTGGACACCACAAATTTAGAATTGAGACAAAAGGATTAAGTGTAGAAATTTCACTTAAATTTATGTGGATACCAGATGTAAAAACTGTGTGCGCGCAGGTGTGCATGTACACAGTGGAGGATACTGGGTGTCTTTCTCTTTCACTGTCTTCCTTATTCCCTCTTAAGACACATTCTCTCACTGGAAGCTTGAACCTTGCAGATTAGGCTAGGCTGGCTGGCCAGTAAGCTCCCAGGATCCACCTGTTTCTCCCTCTAGTGCTGGAGTTGCAGGCATGCATAGCCATACCAGGCTTTTATGTGGGGACTAGTGGTAGCTCCCTTACCCACTGAGCCATCTCCCCAGCCCTCAAGATTTGAGATGACTGCCTAGATCTCCTACCTTTTGCTGTGTCTGTCATGCACTTTAAAGATTAAGAAATCAGAATGTAAAGATTTTGATATCAGTTTCTGCACTAGTATACAGACATGCTCAGCAGAGTGATTTTGATTGATTTGTCTTGTTGCACACACCAGTAATCCATTCCTCTTTATTGCTGGATAGGGTTGCATTGCAGTATGTATACCACAATACATTTACCCATTAACTGGCAATGGGCTATCATGTCTGAAGCTGTCAAGACATCTCATGCACATATCTTTGTCTAGACAGAACTCATGTCTTGTGATAAAATATTTAGGAGTGGAATTTCTGAGTTGTTTACTAAGTGCATGTTAAACCTGTCAAAATGTTTCTCAGGGTGGATGCAGCATTTTAAGTTCATGACTGAGAATTCCAGTTTCTGTCCATATTTGCAGCTGGTGTTGCTAGTTGTTCTAATCCTGAACAACATGTATGAAGTGGTGCCCATTGTACTTTTAGTCCTCACCACAATGAGGTGTTTTTCCCTAGGCTTATCTACTGTTTCTTCCATAGTACATATCCTCTCGCCCTTTCTTCATTTTGTACTGAATTATCAGTTTGTTTTCCCATGTGTCTTTTGTCAGGCAGTGCAATGTATGTATTTTCTCTGTGGTGTCTTTGAAAAACGTGATTAATTCAATGGAGTCCTCTGTACCATTTTTCATCTTGAGTCATTTTTTAATTCTAAGAAGCCTGCCTGTCCAAGGTTCCAGAACTTAGCATGTTTACTCCAGACACATAGTTTTTAGGCCTGTGGCTAATTTTGAGCTAATTTTTGAATCCGGTAAGAGATGAAAACGTCTCCCCTGTTCCTGGTGGATTCCTGTTGTCTCCGTTCACTCACTCACAAGTTCTTCCCCTGAAGCAGCTGGCTGTCCATTGATGGCTGACTCCCAGGCTCCGTGTTGTCTTTATGTCCGATCTTGTGTCAGTCAGTCCTTGACTACTGCTGCTTTATAGTGGGTCTCGAGTCAAGTGAATGAGTCTGCAGGTTTGCTTCCTACACTCAGATGTAATGTTGTTTTCTTCATGGCAGCAGCTTGCTGGAGTTTTCATTAGGATGGTGTTTAATCCAGAGAGGAACTGGGAACATCGCTTGCCAGTTATGTGGGTCTTTTCTCTCCTAGCAGTGCTGTTTTGCTATACAGATTTTACAGTTTTTCTTTTGTTAAAATTACTTCGTATTTTCTAATTCTGTGATTTTACACGTTTTATTGCATTTGTATGTGGGAATAGGATTGGGTTTGGAATATTGGCTTTGTGTCCTGTGACTGCTACATCCATAGTAACAGGTGCATAGAGTAGGTTTTCTTTGCATGTTATTTGGATTGCATCAGTGCCAGGAGACAGCTGCCTTTTGCTCCTTTCTCACCTGTAGGTTCTTTCTTTCTGATCACACAAGCCAACATGGCCAGTAGAAAGTTACAGAGATGGTGAGAATAGGCATTTGACCTTGATTTTTCCCAAGAGGAAAGGCATCCAGCCGTTCAGCTTCAGGCAGTGCTGGCTGTCCTCCTTCAGGTGAAGGAGGTTCCTTCCATTCCTAGTTTGGGGATTAAAATACTGGTTTATTTCTTTTAAAGTCCTGATCAGCATCACTAGTTTATTTAAATATAAGTTTTCCAATCATTTGCCTTTTTGGTATGTTCAGTTTTAACATAGCTTGTTCATTTTTTACCCTCTCCTAAATCTTGGAACCATTTCCTTGTGTTATAATGGAAAGGCTGATATTGTGACTAAGATTATAAAAGATGAACAGGGTAATTCTTCTCTGCTGGGTCCTTTTCCTTTCAGGTCTGCTTCATTCATAATTGACGGACACTGATTTTTCTAAAAAGAAAAGTTCATGCATAGAATTCATGATACTAAGAATCCACTATCCCAGGTCCAGCCACTTTGATTGTTGTTCAGAGCCCCCACATTGGGGAATCATACTCTGGTTGAGTTCAAGTGCACTGAATTAATTCCTGCATCGCTTTAAAGCATTTCTTGGGCAGCATTTCTATAGGAGAATGTCTGCTTTGTTGGTCCCTTTCTTCTTAAGCCTCTCTAGACGACCTTCAGAGACCATCGACTAAGGCTGTTTCCTGCCCACTGAGACTGATTGAAACTTCATTTCCTGAGTTACTCCTGGAAGTTGGACTTAGCATGTAGTATATCAGCATAAACCTGGGCCCAGCCTGCCTGGGTTTTCATCCCAGTACTGTTATTCACACCTGCGCCTGCGTGACCTTGGAAAGTCTTCTCGATGGAAATCAAGCCTGTTGTGTAGGGTGAATATAAGTCATAGTTCCTTCATAATTAAGTATGGTCAACTGCATTTTGAGTATTAAACATTTTTCATGGTTCTTCGTGGACTCTTCATTAGAAAAGCATTAGGTTGAAATCTGTCAGTTTCAACTTTTCAGTGTTAAGCCTGCATGCTTGTCAGCTATCACTCTTAAAAATACCTTCATTCAAGGAATAATGTAGCAAGAAATTTTAGGTACACTTAATCAGCTTTCCCTCTAGAAATTCAAGACTGGGTAGGAATGGGAACATATGAAATGAAAAATAGGGAATAGGGCTGGCCAAGCCGGATGAGCTGAGTTTGACTTCTAGGACTTCCATGGTGAAGGCAGGGTCATCTCCTACAAGTTGTCCTCCAGCCTCCACGTGCACTCTACTCCCACACAAAAATAACTAACCAACCCCATTTAAATGAAAACATTTATAAACAATGTTTGGGAATTGGGGCATAGTTCTCTCCAAACTGCTTCCTGGGGGCACTGTCAATCCCAAGGGGATCCTGAGAAAACCCAGAAACCTGGCCAAACCTGTTGTAGTCTTCAAGGCTGCATCCTCACAGCAGTTTTGGATGTTGGATCACCTGGGCCACTGCTTGATCAAACCATGTTAGTCTGGAAGGAATCCACAGCTTTTCATCTTCTGTGGAAACAAAAGCAGAACCTCTTTCTTCCAAAGTTACATGTCTTTAGACTTAAATTTTGAAGTCAAGACATTTTCAAAATATATAGATTGGATTAATCCAGCAGCATTTATAATCAAATGTCTTTTTTCAGCTGTTGATCCTTCCTCAGCAGTCAAACAATTCAAAGACAACACAATAACATACAGTATTTAGACTTTCTGTGTCACTCCCATCTTTTCGTGGCTTTTTTTTTTTTAACTCTCTTTTATTTTTAGTTTTTTGAGACAGGGTTTCTCTGTGCAACTTTGGCTGTCCTGGAACTCACTCTGTAGACCATGCTGGCCTTGAACTCACAGAGATCCACCTGTCTCTTTTTCGCTGAGAGGTTTTTCCTTTGTCTGAATCAGTCTTTGCTGTATATTGCTATCTTTTTCTGACCATGATGCTTTGATTTGCTAAACAGGATGGCTAAGATTAAAGCCAGCAGCTGGCCCCTCCCTATTCCTTGGCTTTCTGAGATTAACTTCATGGCAGAGTACTGGTGGGAGCCCATTCTTATTGCCACAACTCCTCAGAGTTTCTAGGTCCATGCCACCACCAAGAAGCATGTAGCCAGCTGCTCATGAACACCATTTAATTGTTTGGTAGCAGGGCTTTGCAGTTTTTGCTGCTAATGCTGAATCAGGAAGCCTCTCTTATAGCAGCCCTGCCTCTGCTTGCCTCTAGCAAACAGAGCCCACTACAGAAGCTGCTGCTACCAAGAATCCATGCTTGCCTCTGTTCTTTTGTTTTTAAAATCCCTTTTTAAGCTTTTGTCAGGTTTTACATGGAAATTCTTGCCTCACATCTGGGGACCATTAGAAAATGGAGTTTCTTGACCTGGTGGTGGTGGCACACGCCTTTAATCCCAGCGCTTGGGAGGCAGAGGCAGGCGGATCTCTGTGAGTTCGAGGCCAGGCTCCAAAGCAATACAGAGAAACCCTGTCTTGAAAAAGAAAAAGAAAAGAAAAAAAAAAAAAAAAAGGAAAATTGAGTTTCTTTTCTGCCAGTTCCCTCCACCCTTCAGTCACAAATAAACACACAGAGGTTCATATTAATTATAAACTGTTTGGCCAGTGGCTCAGGCTTCTTACTGGCTAGCTCTCTTTTAATTATTAACCCATTTCTATTAATCTATGTATTTCCATGTGGTCTTGCCTTACCAGTGATGCCCAAGCCACTTTCTTCCTCAGCAGCTACTAGGCATCTCTCTGGACTCCTCTCTGTATCCTTCTTCCCAGCATCCTCCTAGTCTAGTAGCCCACCGATACTTACTGCCTGTCTGCTGGCCAATCAGCATTTAGTCACCAACCAATAAGAGAAACATATATTCACAGAATATAGGAGGACATCCCCTATCGCCAGGACTACACAGAGAAACATTATCGAGAAGAAAAGAGGAAAAGAAATTCCTAAAAGCAGTTTCTGTAGTGAAAGAATCTGTGATCCATAGAGATAAAGGTTGAGCTAAGTTCAGCATAATCTACCTACAGTGTGAAACAAAACAGTTGCAGCTAAAAGAAGGGGGTCTGAAGAGCCAGGATCCAGATCCCAGGAAAACAGAAGAACACCATCTAACACCACAGACCTCACCTCGGTAAATGTGGCCAGCACAGCTGTCAGCAGCAGTTCCCACAAAGCAGCTCCAGTCAGTAGGAGGCAAGTACACAGTAGCACACTTGTGGCAAGGAGACGGACATGAGAAGCAGAGCAGACTTTGAAACTCCCAAACAGAAATTTTAGCTTCTGAATGCAAAGCCTCCCTAGATGCCATTTTTTTTTTTTTTTTGTACACACTGCCAGAGGCAACACAAAGTATTTTGTTACTGCAGTAGATGACAGGCATTTTTAAAAGGTCCTTTACCTGAGCTAAAATACACTTAGAATGTTTCTCTATCCTGTCGGCCCAGAAATTAGTCATTATGGATCTGACAATAGTACTTAGTAGTGATACTAAACTGCACATACTTTATCACTAAACAGTGAATGCGATGGGAATGAGGTAAGTTCAGGAAATGCAGCTTTAGCAATAAAATAGAGAGAGTCAGCACCAGCGCAGCAGGCTGTGGCAACAGCTGCAGCCTCCAGAAACTGTCCAAACACTGGAACCTCAGCCCTGCCTGCACCTAGAGGATCAATCATCACCAGAGCCACAGCCCCCAACTACACCAATTGGAGGAAGAGAGGCTTAAGCTATTTGCTGATGATATGATAGTATGTATAAGTGACCCAAAATTCTACTACTGAATTCTTTCAATTTCATGTTCAGTAATGTATCAGGATACAAGATTAACTCAAAAAATATCATTAGCCTTCCAATATACAGATAATAAATGGGGTAAGAAAGAAATCAGAGAAATATCACCCCTATTAGCCACAAATACCATAAAATATTTTGGGGTAACTCTAGCCAAACAAGTGAAAGACCTATATGGTAAGAAGTGTAAGTCTTTGAAGAAAGAAATCAAAGAAAACATCAGAAAACAGAAAGATCTCCCACATGCTCCTAGATAGATAGGATTAACATAGTAAAAATGGCAATCTTTTCAACAGTCACGGGTTTTGTAGATTTAGCAGAGAGAATTGAGTATTTCAGTCTGGGTGAAAACTATACAAGTTCAACAATGAAGCTTACTACAGCAGAAACTCCAGGATCACACTGGCCTCCTCCTGAGTGCTGGGTTCATGGGTTTGCATCCCTTTGTCCACCTTGGAGACTCCAGTCTTCACATGTGTGAAAGAAAGCAAACCGCTGAGTACAAACATGACATAAAAATGGTCGTGATTTTCCTCCTCCATGCCATCTCTTTCTGTCGTCTTTAACTCCAGTTTGATATTGTGACGGGTTTTGCTGAGTTACTCCTAAGGCTCTTTTCTTCCCTCATCCTTACCAAAATTTATCTTCACACCACTCTACCCCTTTTTCCCACCATAGTTTCTGAATTTCAACACGGCCTTGGTCTCAGCTGTTGTGTTTTGACAGAGCACACCCCAAGCTTAGTACACCTACAGGGGTACAAGCCAGCTGTTGTAGCTAAGGTATTTTAGACATGGTATAGGCAAAGCAAGACCATTTAACTCAAATAGCTGCTTGGGAGCACAACAGTTATGTGATAGGTAGGGTTTTAGTTGGGGAGGTACGGTAGGGAAGGAGGGGAGGGAGAGGGAACTGGGATTGACATTGTTTCTAATTCAAATAAAAAATGGAAACAAATCAAATAGCTACCCTGGTTTGTATATTGCAGTTTGTTTGCCAATCCTAGTTCCTATTCTTTACCTGAAGCAATGTATTTTGTTTTTCAGATGGCTATTCCTATGAGAGAGAAGCAATGGAAAATTGGATCCACAAAAAGAAACGCACAAGCCCCATGACAAACTTGGTTCTTCCTTCATTGATATTGACACCAAACAGGACTCTGAAAATGGCCATCAATCGATGGCTAGAGACACATCAGAAATGAATTTGTTCATATGGTATCGGGTACATTTTTCAGTGATGTCATTCAGTGCTAACCAGGCATTCCAAAAGCAAAATAGAAAGGATATGTTAAATTCAGTTACTTTAAAAACTGTTAATTATTATTCTTACAACACAGAATTATACATCTCATGTCATTGCTGTTTCTATATAAGTGGAAATATTTTTGCACTAATGGGAAAATGTGTAGAAATAAAACTTTACTGTGACTTTATCGCAATGCCTAAATGTTATTAGATGTAGCCCACATCCAATAGCATCCATACCCTTGAGAAGTCTAGATTCTATGGATGTTTCCATCTTGGATAACAGCTATTCAATAGTTTTCAGCCACCTGAAAGGTTTGTAAGAACCTTTATAATAGAGTTTTCATAATATAATTGTAAATTGTTTAATAAATTGGAAAAAAATCACTCCATGCATGTTGAATAGCAATTTTGTTGGGTTCTAAATTTGTGTAGTATAAGGATTTTTTTCTCCATTATTAAACCTCAGATATAAACTAGGTCAGATAGTCAAATTAACTTTGTTGAAATATATCAAGTGGCAAACCATCTTCCTTTTACAACTTAGAATTCTTAGGCATTCCCAGCATGGGAGAACTTACATCCAGACAGTTAGCACCTGCTACCCCACCAGCACTATACCTGCATCTACTACACAGGAACTGAGTTCAAGAAGACGGTGTGGACTGCCCTCTCAGAACCCCGATGAGTTGTTGCCCAGAGTGGAGCCATCAGTGGGAGGCTTACTGAACCCAAACTGTCAGGGTAGGGAGCAGAACACTGTGTCTTTAGCCCTTGTCCTGTTCACTCAGGCCCCCAAACACTCATAACACATTTAAGAACATTAGAATTAAGAAATATAGGCCATACTCTGGGAAGCCCAGGTATGGACCTGGCCAGTATCCGTGGCATGGCCGGTATTTGATGAAGTCTCTTATTTACTATTGGTCAGACTGGTGAATCTTTGAACAGCCCCAGATCACAGAACAATGGCACCAGGGCTACATCAGAGCTCTTTCAAGATGCAGCACCAAATCTCACTAGTCAGGCGTTTATAAAGGACACAGTTCACAAGGCATGTACTTTTTGCATTTGTGCAATTAGGGGCAAGCACATATCCTGATGTAAAAGGGCACATTTCCTGCCTACATGCAGTCAGGGGCATGCAAGACTGTTTACAGAAGGGAAAACACAAGGTTTGTACAAGACAAGGCGATTACAAGAACAGCCCCAGAATTCCAGGAAGTCATCTGTCCTTGGGCGGATAGGGCTTACAGGTTAGAGGTCTTTTTGTTTTATAGTTCTCTTAAGCACAGTAATTTTAAACTTTTAAACATAATGTTCACCATCACAGAGACTGATTTCTTTATCTAAGGCAGCTTTGCCTTCATCTCAAATGTTGGTTTTTGTCTGTTAATTTATGCTTTTGGTTTTTTGAGACTAGTTTTTGCTCTGTTGCCTAGATTGGCCCTGCACTGGCCACATGGCACAAGTTGGTTGACAG